TATGCGGCACCATCACCTCCATTCTTGAGGACAATGGATACTCTGCGACCTCCGCACCATCCTCGATGGTGCTACGGACCCTGTAGGTCTTCACGTAAAACCACTCCTCAAGCCAGCCGCGGTCCCATTTGCCTTTCTGGCAAAAAGAAATCTCCAGGCGGTCCACGCCTTGGTTCCTCTTTGACATGAAGGTGGAACTACCATACTGGTAGATCACCTCCACCTCCTTGCCCTCCCGCATCTCCTTCTTCTTCGGCTGCTTCTACAGCTCGTAGTAAGCGTAGAAGGTGTCCACATCTGGCTCGGCGCCATAAGAAACACACGCCCAGCAGAATTTGCTGAGCATGAGGAAGGCAATAGGAGTCAGATGATGGAGCTAGACATTGAAGGTCTCCAACACCCGGTGGAGGAAGGGGATGTAAGGAAGGCGGAGGCCGTAGGTGAAGAAGTCCCGAAACACCACCACGTATCCGTTCTCCGGTTCCAGAACAGTCTGGCCAGGCGGAGGGATTTTTACCCTCGAAGAAGGAAAATACGATTCCTTCAACATCTCCACGACCGCCTCTTCAGTAATGGAGGAGGGGCCGAAATCCCATGACTTTATCACCATGTCTCTAGAATCCGCAGCGATCAGGTCTCCAACGGACGCGGAGACACTCCCCAAATCCTCCTCCACTAGCTTTTCAAATTCCAACATGGAGGCGGAGGCAAGCATGCACTCCTCAAAGCGTGCACTCTAGCCAGCGGCCCTAACGCCGAGAAGGTGGCGATAGGGTCCGAAGAAGGCAGGCCGGCGAGTATGGGGGGACGCGGAAAAGAAAGCCACCGCGGCAGCAGCCTAGGCGGAAGACGCAAGCGGAAAGACAGAACGCGCGAAGGCAGCTCAGGCGAAAGCGAAGAGAGCAGAGAGCGATTTCTCAGAGGCAAGGAAAGCGAATGAGCAGTGCTGGGGGGGGACCCCGCCACCAACCCCGCCCTTATATAGGCCGCAGGCGGGCGGTTCGGCTCCCACCGTACAACGGTCACCTCTGGAGAATTCACCTGCCGCCCAACGGTCATCTCCGGAGAAGTTGCAAGGTATACAACGGAAAGCAATACGGCGTAAACGGCCACAGCGTAGGACAACGGCTAGTTTTGTAGCCTAACGGCTACTATGACAAGACCAGCGGCCACGCCAGAGCAGGCTAGGGGGGAATCTACGGGGATCGGTCGGAGACGTGACTACGCGCAGTCTCTGCCCCCGCGGACGTCCTTGCTTAGGGCGTTTTGAGCTCACGGCACGCTCGGGCGGACCGTGGTCTCAAAAGGGGGGAACTGTTGTAACACGGCCTCTGAGAGTGGCGGAGACCTACGCGGCCAGTAGTTCGCAAAGACATCTCCGACCAACTACCTAAGCAAAGGCCCAGCTACCACGCCTCCAGACCCAGAAAGATAACGGTTTCTCATACTGCTTGCAGGACGCTGCCGGTGACCCTGGCGCAGCCTCCGCCCGGTTAGCTCGTAGGCGTCTTCGGGCGGAGGGGGTGGAGGCCGCCCCACTGCAAGGCTAATCAAGTGCCAACGTTACCTACGTGTGTGTGCAGGTAACCAGAGGAAGGCGCTCGTGGACGGCGCGGGCACGCCGGTTCGGCCTCGGCTCGTAGGGGCAGAGACCCAAGCAGGAGGACGGCAATACTGGGCGTCGGGGTCTGCGGCCTCGGCGTCCTAGGGGCGGAGACCGATGGCGGAGGCCTAAAGGCCCTTCGCCGAATCCTGAGGCCTGATGGGGCGGAGACCGACGGCGGAGGTCCAAAGGCCCATCACCGAATCCTGAGGCCTGATGGGCCGGCTGATCGCGCAGGCCCAGTACCTGAGGGCGGCATGACAAGATTACCCCCGAGAGGAAAGGCGAGTAGTGGAATATTCCGAGAATGTACTGTAGCAGTTGAAGGATACTATTGTAAACTCTGTAAAAGTGGTAGTTGAGCCCTATAAATAGGGAACACTTGTAACAGTACGAGAGGATGGAAAATGAATTAATGAAACCCTAGTTTTACGTGCCATTTCCCTACACGCCCACTTGTCGTGCCTGTTTCCCGAGCCTCTGCTTGAGGGCAGCGCTTGGCGGGCGGAGATCTCTACCTCCTCCACACTGTCTGAGACCGCAAGTTTCAACAGAAGTTTTGATCCAAGAACTGTCCCTGATGAAGGCTCTGGCGAAATGTCTGTCTGGTCCTATCTGCCCTTCATGCCGACGCAAGACTGATCGAGGCCAAGGCGATATCAGGGGCACCAGCTGATCAGCTGAGGCAGATGCAACAGTGCACGACGTGGGGTGATGTCCTCTCCTGGGTCATTTTGTTGTGGCTTCACGCGGTGGCAAATGAGATGCTGCAGGGCCAAAAGCTTTATGAAACAGATGTGAGGTACAATGAAGAAGCTAGCAATCTAAAAAATAAGATAGTGCATATATTTTTCTAGATCTTTTGAAATTCATAGAAAATAAATATGCCTCCAAATGACATGAGACTAACTTTGTTCAGTTGATGTTGTCATTAACATGTTAAAAATATGTTCACTCATGTTTTTCTCCAAGTCAGAGCTCTTTCATCATTGGGGATGTCTACTATCCTTCCGGTATGTCTCTAAGGGAGCTTCTTTATCCTGAATCCAGCAAGCTTATTACTGATTTTATCTATTGGCCTGCTTGTAGTAGGGTAATTCACAAGTTTCACTACCAAACATTTAAATTGGGCACCAATTAAAAGTTAGAAGTTGGTATATAATATGGTAGAGAAGGAGGATTATTTATGACTAGTCCTAACCATATTATTTGTCTTTGAAAAGGTTGCATGTCGATGCAATAAAAAAGAAGAACGCTACTCACAAATAGAATCAATAGAAGCAGATTCAAAGAGAGACATTTTGACACACCCATCTATTTTAGCGTTAAGCTCTATTTCTATAACTGGTTAATGCAAGGGACTGGCTTTCTTTTTCTTGCAGATACTCATTGAGATCATGAATTTGTTTAAGATGTTGGACTCTTTGCCACTAGAGTCCTGGGTTGTTTTCTGTAGGAAATTGGAAAACTCTGAGCATACATTTTAATTTGCAATGAACTGCTGATAGTGAATGCTGGTGGTATAGAATATTCGGCAAAGTATTTGTGCTTATGAACCTCTAAATGTGTACTGATATGTGTGTAAAACACATGCAACAATCATGGCTTCGACCTTTTAATTACATGTCATGATCTGCTGAAATTATCTCAGCCAGTAACATACTTCAGAGAAATGTCTTGAGTCAAAATTCTCGTTTGAAAGTGCGCAGTTGCAACCCACGTATTCATCAGAATGACTCAATAGGGGACTCATAGTCACTTGTTGCAGCCTGAAGGCAAGACCCTGTTCCATAGTCCACACCCTGCAATGATTGATGACAACCAATATTTTGCCAAGAGTAAATTACACCCATGGTCCCTAAACTATTACACGATTCTTATCAAGGTCCCGAAACTATAAAATTGCATTTCTAGGTCAGTAAACCACTTTAGGTATACCATCCCGGTCAAAAACAGCCACGTCACAGTCCATTAGCTGACGTGGCACTCCAACATGGAACTGACATGTGGGTCTGCAGCACATAAGTACATGAACGGTCCCTAAACTATCGTGTGACACCTAAGTCCAAAACTATAAATTTACTCATGTAGGTCCCTAATCTATCAAAGTGCTACAATTCCAGTCGAAAGGAACCTCTTCACTCTCCATCCATCGTCGTGTGGATTGCCAGATAGGCTTCTGAGCCTTTGCTTGTCATTGAACTTCTTGTCGTCTGTTTGTCATCTTATCTTGGAGAGCAATGTCTTGACGCCATGTCAGGCAGTAAACATACTTCAGAGAAATGCCTTAAGTCGAAATTCCCCTTTGAAAGTGCGCAGTTGCAAGTTGCAACCCACGTATTCGTCAGAATGATTAAATAGGGGACTCATAGTCACTTGTTGCAGCCTGAAGACAAGACCCGGTTCCACAGTCCACACCGTGCAATGATTGACGACGACCGATATTTTGCCAGCGAAGAGTACGCACGATGAACAAAACAAATAAAAGGCTACCTACTGTGAGTTATGTCTGGCACAACAGTATATATATCCACGCACGATGAACAAAGCAAATAAAAAGGTACCCACTGTGAGTTATGTCTGGCACAATACAACAATATATATCCATGCAAGGAAAGTAGAAATTTTTCGTACTGATGATTTGTCACACTCAAAATATCGTTTTTCATTAGATACAAAACAGAATCTTGCGAACATCACACTCAAAATATTAGTAATAGTATACTACAGGTTCAAACTTAAGTTATCAAGGCATAATTTTATTCCCGTTGCAACAGGACAGCAAGGATCTACGGGCTCAGCGGCCGCAGCTGCGTTGGACGTGGCGACGACTGCTGGCGATGCTCGCGGCGAGGTGGAGGCCGTGAGCACGCCATCGTCGGAGGCCTCGTTCGTTCTCTGTGCGGTCTACCTCAAGGAGGTGCGGGGCCCGGCCACATAGGCGGAGGCGATTACGGTGTCGTGCTCCCATGCATACCATCCTGTATGCGTTCTCTTATGGTTTGCCGTGCACTGCACCTGCCCCTGCTGCAGGGCGGATTGTCCCGTCGCCTGAGAATTGACCAGAGCTCGATGGAGCAAAAGCTTCCCATCCATGAACACAACTGTCCGGTCATCGCTGCCATCTCAAAGTGGGTACAAAGCCGAGGATCTTTAGGGACTGGTACAACTGGGTACACACGTCTCTAAAAAGTATTTTAACAAGGGTAACAGTACAACACACGTTTATGTACTTATATTATCGTGAGACTATATTTGGGTCACACGTTCATACTTAATTATAATATCGTGGTATTGTATTTCCCGTTGCAACGCACGATCGTTTACGTAGTTTGTTATTTTGAAGCACGGATGGAGGCACCGGTGCAGGATGGATGATGAAGTGTATGCACTCAGCTCAGCAGGCGCCACGCCTGAATCCCACAGCCTGGCCGCCGATGTCGTACAGCACCTCGAACGTTCTCTGCTGCACGTTACCGATGATTCCCGGGGAGGTGTCATCGTTGTGGGGAGCGAACGCGAGGCAGCCGTCGTTGACAATGATCCCCTTCCGGTCGAGCTCCATGGCGGCGCCCCGCTCGAACACTAGGGTAATGTTGGGCAGATTGGCGTCACCGACATTGCCGTCGAGGTTGAAGCAGGTGTCCAAGTTCTCCATTGGCGCCGCTCGCAGATACATCCTCATCTCCTTCCGGAATGCCGCACGCAGCGCGCGATAAGCCTGTGGTGGCAGCGTTGTGATCGGCGTACCCGAGTCCATGATCGCGCCATTGGAGAACACCGACGTCGGTACGTCGAGGCGCCGCCCGGCCACGACGATGGCCTGCAGGACCACGATGTAGAACGTGGGGTGGTCGAGGTACGTGTACATGGGAGTCACCGCGAACCTCGAGGAGGAGACGCGTGGCACGCCGAGCGTCAGGAACCCCGAGTAGCTCGGTGACGGCGGGAGGCAGTATGAGAAGGCTTTCTCCGCGGTCTGAGACACCAGCGAAGGTACCCCGCCACCGAGCCCCATGATCCCGTCGGTCCTGGCGTCGTCGTCGTCGTCGTTGGGCGTCTCCTCGGGGGCGTGTTGACAGCCGAACAGGAAGCCGTCGACGGCATATGTGGGGGATAGCGTCAGCTTGTCGGAGCTGTACGTCCCCATGATGGAGTCGTTGCCGGCATAGCTGATGGCGTACCGGCACAGGTTATGGGAGGAGCAGCTGCCGAAGAAATCACGCCCTAGTCCCCGGTAGGCGGCGGAGCCACAGGGGACGGCTGAGTACTGTTAGCTGTTGTTGTGTACCTCTATGTAACCGTAGGTCCGGGCAAGCATCCTCGACTTGGCCGAAGTTGCACCGCAGCAGGGTAGACGCCATTGCCGTGGCGTTGTAGGAGTCCAGCGCGGTAGAGATGTAGTCCAGTGGCGCTGCAGAGGCGACGATGAGGTTGGTGGGGCATCTTGTCGCTAGCAGCACTACTTTAGATCGGTTTAGGGTTTTCTGTCAGTGGGATGGCGGCGGCTACGTTGAACCTCGTAGTCAGAGCCTAGATCCCCACCTTACCTTTTATATGTGTTGTGCGACAGGGGCCCACCAACCATATTAGGGTTGGGCGCCCCCGATCAGGGCGCAAAGACAAGGGCCCAATAGGCCGTTGGGCCTATTGGTGGAGATCAACTAACATTCTCCTCCTTGATCTCATTCCATCTTTTAATTTCATATCATTTACTTTTGTTTATTCCATTACAGATTAGCACATAAAGCATGTCATCGTTACGGTCCATTGCCGATAGATTTAACAGCTACAACACACTACTCTGTTCTAAAATAGATACTTATCTTTGGGTCTTTTTTTGTCCAGGAATTTTAGGCTTTCCCTTAAACCCATGCTAGCTACATGTTCTCTGAACACCATGTTCTCTGAACACGTTGGGCGGTAAGCCTTTTGTAAACGGATCCACGAGCATCCTTTCTGTACTTATATGCTCAAGATTTATGACTTGATCTCGGACTTTATCTTTCACAACATAATACTCTATGTCAATGTGTTTGGCAGCACCACTTGACTTATGTTGTGAGCATACTGTATTGCCAAATTATAATCGCAGTATAACTTAAGTGGTCTATAGATGTTGTCAACCACCTTCAAACCGGGTATGAACTTCTTTAGCCAGTTCACCTGCCCCGTTGCCTCATATCACGCTACAAACTGTCATACATTGTGGACGATGTAGTGACGGTTTGCATTTGAGCTTTTTCATGAAATAGCTCCCCTTTTTCGAGAGTGAATACTATCCGGTCGTGGATTTTCTATCATCTCTTGCATAATCAGAATCTGAATTTCCCACAACGTGGAGTGAATCAGATCTTCTATACGTTATCATGAGGCCTTTCGTTCCTTGCATATAACGCAAGACTTTCTTTATCAATTTCAGTGTTCTATTCTAGAATTGCTCTGGAATCTGCCAAGTAAAACCCGGTAAAAAATGTCAAGTCAGGGCGCGTACATACTTGAGCATGTTGCAAGCTTCCGACAGCTGAAGCATATGGAACCACTTTCATTTGATTGAGCTCATATTGGTTCCTGGGGCATTGAAAATCCCCATATCTGTCGCCCTTGACTATAGGAGCAGGTGAGGGACTACATTTGTGCATACTGAATTTCTTTAAGATTCTTTCTATGTTTGCCTTTTGTGACAGTCCTAATACCCCTTTTCTTCTATCTCGGTGAATCTCGATCCCTAGAACGAACGAGACTTCACCAAGATCTTTCATATCAAGTTTTGAGGACAAAACTTCTTTGTCTCCTATAATAGACTAACATCACTACTAGCAAGTAAGATATCATCCACATATAGAACAAGGAAGATAAACTTTCCATTCTTAAACTTTGCATAGACACAATTGTCCTCTACATTCTCTTTAAACCCAAAATTCTTTATTGTCTGATCAAACTTCAATTACCACTGTCTTGAAGCTTGTTTTAATCCATAAATGGATTTCTTTAGGCGGCATCCCATGCGTTCTTTTTCTTCCATTACAAAACCTTTTGGTTATGCCATGTAAACATTTTCCTCTAAGTCTCCATTGAGAAATGTCGTCTTTACATCCATCTGATGTAATTCTAAATCGTAATGTGCCACTAATGCCATTATGATTATGAAGGAATCTTTACATGAGACTGAAGAAAAGGTCTCATTGTAATCAATCCATTCTCTTTGAATAAAGCCTTTTACCACAAGTCGCGCTTTATATCTCTCTATATTCCCTTGAGAGTCAAGTTTTGTTTTGTAGACCCATTTACAGCCTACTGTTTTGGCTCCTTTAGGAATTATTTCTAAGTCCCAAACTATATTGGCATTCATTGATTTCATTTCATCTTCTATGGTCTCAAGCCACTTTGATGAATGATCACTTCTCATGGCTTCTTCAAATGAGGTGGGATCATCCTCCATTTGAAATTCCTCAGTGTTGTACACTTCATAATCAACAGGAATAGCTGATTTTCTAACTCTTTGAGACCTTCTAGGGGCCTTCACATTTGGCACAACTTCTGTTTGAGGCTGTTGTTGCTCCCCCTCATGTGTGTTAATATGTTCTATAGGATCTTGAAGAACATGTTCTTCATCATCATTCATTATTGCCATAGGTGGGATAACAACAGGTGCTGGCACCATAGTATCTAGCACTGTCAGTGCAGCTACAACAGGTAGTGAGAAAAATGGCTCATGAATCATTGGAGTGGGCGCTTACACCCGCTTCACTTCAAGGTCAATTTCTCAAGCTACCATGCCCCCCTCATCAATTCGTCCTCTAGGAAGACAGCGTGTCTCGTTTCCACAAACTTTGTATGTATCTCTAGATAGTAGAAAACGAAAACCTTTTGACTTTTCTGGGTAGCCAAACAAATGGCAACTTACTGTTTTGGGATCTAACTTCACAATGTTTGGGTTAAATACTTTAGCCTCAGCAGGGCTCCCCCACACACACACAAGTGGTTTAGTGAGGGTACTCTTTCTGTCCACAACTCATACGGTGTTTTGGGCACCGACTTTCTTGATACTCTATTGAGAATATGAATGGTGGTTTTAACGCCTCCATTCACAGGCCCAACTATAAGGTGGAGTAACTTATCATAGTGCGCACCATATCTATTCATTATACGATTACGTCTTTCAGCTACTCCATTCTACTGAGGTTCGCCCGGTATAGAATACTGGGCTACTTTGCCATTCTCCTATAAGAACCTTGCATAAGGTCTAGGAACTTGGCCATATGGGGTATGCCGACCGTAGTACTCCCACACGGTCAGACCTGACTATCTTTATCTTTAAATTGCGTTGGATATCAACTTTTGCCTTAAATATCTACATTTATCTAATGCTTCTGTTCTTTCTTTGATTGGATAAATATAGACATAATGGGAGTAATCATCTGTGAATGTTATGAATGAATCATTACCATCCACACTCTTCACAGGAAACTGACCACAGATGTCTGTGTGAATAATCTATAAAATTCCTGCGCTTCACTTTCCTTTTATGCATTCTCTGCATTGTTCTAAATCTGAGAGCTCTAATAGAGGAAGAATATCATTTTTAACTTGTCTTTCTATTCCCCCCCTCGAAATATGGCATAAACGACAGTGCCATAATTTCGACGACGCATCGTGAGCTCTCTTATGCCACCATTTCCAGAGTGATTCTCTGTCACCAGCTGCTTTATCAGCTGGGTAGTATATGTCTTTGAAGAGCCAGTGAACTGACTCTTTATTCTATCGAGGTATTCGGTGACTGTGTCACACTCTAGGATTGAGCCCACAATTACAGGCTCAATCGTGTTCTTTATCATAGCCAAACATTTTATGTTGGCAATGACCCACTTCCTATGCTCAAAGTCATAGGACATCTTTTGGGATTCAAAATCTCTTTCTTTAGTTGCCTAATCGGCATCATTCTCTTTTGTCTCCCTCATCGGTGCCACAGACTCTGTGGAACACGGTGAGATGACTACCCAGTCCACCTCAGCCAAGATGAAAACCAGGTCAAACATTTTCTTAACATAAAAATAACACCATTTGCATGCCTTTATTCTAACGTTGGTTAAAATCAAAACATACAACTATTCTTATATACTAATTCTACATCACCGTTGGGCAGAAATAGAATTAATGCATAAAACATTAACTTTCACAACTGTTCTTACACACTAATTCCACATCACCGTTGGGCAGAAATAGAATTAATGCATAAAATCATTAACTTTTACAACTGTTCTTACACATTAATTCTACATCACCGTTGGACAGAAGTAGAATTAATGCATAAATCATTAAAATTATGATATTATTATTAACAACGTTGGTCAGAAAATAACAACATCATAATTATGTCAAATCTCTTTTTCTCCAATTAAATACCACGTTGGTTCAATATAACTAGAGAATATACTTTTTCTTTAGCAGCGGAAAACGTATACTCAATTTCTTGAATTTTACCCACAGGGAAAATTTACTTTTTCTATATTTTCTTTTGAGCCATTTATTCATTTTCCAGGAAATAAAATCTTTACTGGAAAATGAAAAAAAAACAAAAACAGATTCAAAAACTCATTGTTCTTTGATCTTAGGCTGGAACTAGTACAAATGGCCGGCCCATCTCTCTCCGTCTTGCATGCAGCAGCCGCAACTGGGCTGGGTAAGCAAAGTTCTTGTTGCCACAGCGCACTTTTTGGCCAACCGACGATCAATCGCGCTCATTGTCGGATCGAATCGGACGGCCGAGCGTTCGTTTTGGCCAGTCAAAACCATCGCCGCGGCCGGTGCCCCAGAACCCTAGCTCATTCGCCCCCTGCCCTTTCTCTCTCTTCGCTCTCTCTTCTCAGCTGCAGCGATGACAGCAGCCACCGAGCAGCCGTGAGCGAGGACGGTAGAGCGGGCAGCCATGGCGCCGTCGCCGGCCCCCTCGCCGATGCGCGTGCTCCCCAACGGGTGAGCACGCCGCCATCGAGCGGCCTGGCCACGGCGCCCCCTTGGCCGAGCCCGGCGAAACGCTACCCCCAGCTCGGCCCTTCTTCTCCCACGCCGGCGAAGGGCCATCCCGATGCACGGCGAGGTAGGTCCGTCCCCTTTTCTCCCCTTTCTTCTCCAATTTGGATCTCGTTT